ATGTCGACGAATAGTTCGAGAAAAATCATGGAAATTGTGGATATTGATGTAAAATTTTGAATGAATAAATAAGACTTGAATGGTAGCTTAATTAGCATATAACTAATTAGTTTTAACCATCATATCTAAATATATTAATAATATACTTATGAAAATGTCGTCGCAATGAAAACGTCGAAAAAAATCATGTATAGAAATTATTTGAATTAGTAAATTAAAGTTTAATATTATTTAATTATATTTTATTGATAATTTCTAATTCAATTAGTTACATAATTGAAAAAGATATTATATATATATATATATATATATATATATATATATAAATATATATATATCTATATATATATATAGATACATACATATATATAGATATAGATATACATATAGATATACATATATGTATGTATGTATGGTTAGGGGTAGCGTCCGAATAGGACACGCGTTCGTCCCTCCGCGAGCGTGGGCCCACTAAGAAACCACCTTCTCAAAGAGGATGTCGCTAAGCAGAAGACGTGTCTGTTCAAGAAGGGACGAAGGATGATAAACGGTTACTCCCCGTACGTGGCCACAACTGGCGGTGCGTGTTATCGATACGACGGGCGCATCCTGCAACCCTGGGTGACATATACAGAAGGTGCAGGTAGTGGGACTACCCTGCCGCTGTTGGGAACGCGCCTTCCTCTGTCCAACCGTACAGCATGAGATGTCCCTGCCACCTCCAACCGTCGTCCTTCCTGGTCGGCCCTCCAGGCTATAAAAGGAAGGACGATCATCCTCACCAAGTAAGTGAAAAAACTGTCATTAATATCTCCGGTGTCTTATTCTATCTTTACTCCGATTACTAACTTGAGTGTCAGAGTGTATTAGACGGGACACTGTATCAGCGTCGAGTTCTTTGGTTTCAAGTACAGTGGATCTAATTGGACTGCTTATCCTCTTCTTCGATTCTTTCCTCAGGCTGGCTGTCGGCATTATTCACTGGTCGATCTTTGTCTTGGGTCTCTTTATCTGGTGAGACTCTTTTCTCTTCTAGCTCTGTGGGCTTTGGCACAGGTTTCGCTTTGGTTGGCTTTCTCCCCTTCCTTGCTGGCTTTTTCTTTTTCTTGGAAGGGGAGGGAACTTCCTCCTGCTGTAACTCTTCTTCGGGTTGCTGCTAAAGGAGGTGGAGATTTTTCACGGACCTTTTCTGGAGATTTTTTAAGCGAAAGCGATGGGGATGAGGTGGGGTTAGGTATTACCTTCTTCCCTTTCATGGCTCTCGTCTTAACCCTAGGCATGGCAATACACTGATGCTATTGGACTGGTTCTACTGAAGGATAACATGAGCTTTTGGTGGAAGTAGGATAGAAAAACAACTTAGGAGGATGAAGCAAAAAAATGAGTCCTTAGGGTTTCAATCCACGAATAAAAAGAAAAAAATGAGACTTAAGTTTCTCTTTCCTCGAAATACCCTGACACGTAATCTCTTTATAATGAGCGTGATCTTTTTCAACTGCCCCACTTAATCACGTTCTTTTTAAATTTCAAAACTTCCTCCTCCCCCCTCCCTTTTTGACTTTCTCAAAAGAACTAATAAATAAATTGGGTTGGAAGAATTCGAGATTTCCTGGCTCACTCTTTTCCCTGACAGTTTTGTCTCCTAGAAGACAAGGCCAATATCCTCTCTCTAAACTAACGGCCATTCTCTTTTCCTAAATATGTTCAGCACTTCACCACTTGAAAACTATGCTCCAGCATTAATAGAGTTGCCCTCAGCGTCAATGACTGTTACATTTTCTGACTTCTCGCTCTTTCACTGCTCCCTCTTACGTTAGATTCCCCCGCTCAAAATACACACAAAAAATTCATTTTAATTTTACTAAACAGACTTCTTAAAACAACAAAATTTAAATGTACTCGCTACAAAGTTAACTAAAGGGAAAATGTAATAAAGATAAGTATTTAAGGATTCCTTCCCCTTTTATTCCTCTTTCTTTTCTATCTTCAAGTTAACTTGAGTTGGTGAGACTCCACTTGTCTCACCACCTCTCCTCCCCAATAATGTTTCAATCTTTGCCCATTCACAGTGAACTCCCTTTCAGTATTATCCTCTTTGATAGTTATAGCTCCATGGGGATATACATGCACCACCGTGAAGGGTCCTGACCACCTTGACTTCAGTTTTCCTGGGAATAGCTTGAGCCTTGAGTTAAATAGCAAAACTCTTTGTCTTGATTCGAATGCTCGTTGCTTTATCTTCTTGTCAGGCCACACTTTGGTCTTTTCCTTGTATATTTTTGCATTTTCATATGCTTCTCGTCTGAATCCATCTAGCTCTAGAAGATGGAATTTTCGTATTTCCCCTACTGCTGATCGATCCATGTTTAACTGTTTGACTGCCCAAATGCTCGTTGTTCTATCTCTAATGGCAGGTGACAAGCCTTTCCGAAGACTAACTTATATGAGGATGTTTCTATTGAGATTTTATAGGTTGTCCTATAGGCCCACATTGCGCCATCTAGCTTAAAGCACCAATCTCTCCTACTGGTATTAACAATTTTCTCTAATATGCCTTTGATTTCTCTGTTTGACACCTCTGCTTGTCCATTTGTTTGCGGATGATATGCTGTGGATACCTTATGCTTAATGTTATACCTTGCAAGCAGGGTAGCCATAGCTCTATTAACAAAATGAGTGCCTTCATCACTGATAAGTGCTCTCAGTGTCCCAAATATGGTGAAGATATTCTTGTGTAAAAACTTTAAAATAGTCTTTCAATCACAGATTATACAAGCTAGAGCTTCTACCCATTTAGACATGTAGTCTACTGCTAGCAGGATGTAGATGTTATCATTTGATGGTGGGAATGATCCCATGAAGTCTATTCCCCAGACATAAAAAAGTTTCACTTCCAAGATAAAGTTCGAAGACATTTCAGACTTGTTGGAAATGTTCCCCACTCTTTGACACTTGTCACAGCTTTTAGCATACGTGTATGCATCCTGGAAGATTGACGGTCAATAATACCCACTTTGAAATATCTTTGCAGCTGTTTTCTGGCCCCCAAAATGGCCACCATAAGGAGCTGAATGGCAATGTTCGAGCACTGTCAATGCCTCAGTGTTGTCCACACATCTGCGCATAATTTGATCCTTGCATAGCTTATACAGATAAGGTCCATCCCAATAATATAATCTGCTGTCATGGACGAACCTCTTCAACTGTTGCTTCTTGATGTCTGGAGGCAAGATTCTACTGACTACATAGTTGGCGATGTCTGCAAACCATGGTTCAGGCTCTTTTTCCTTCTCTGTCACTACGAGAAATTGTTCATCAGGGAAGTTGTCTTGTATGCGATTATGCTCTTTCACTATTCCTTCAAGGTCAATTCTAGATAGGTGATCAGCTACCTGATTCACAGACCCCTTTTTATCTCTGATTTCCAAGTCAAATTCTTGCAGCAGTAGCACCCATCTTATCAGCCTTGGCTTGGCATCCTTCTTAGCTAGCAAATACTTGATGATTGCATGGTCTGTGTATACAATCACCTTTATGCCGATCAGATAGGCTCTGAATTTTTCAAAGGCAAATACCACTGCCAGAAGCTCATTTTCAGTTGTGGTGTAATTGAGCTGAGCCTCCACTAGTGTTCTGCTGACATAGTAGATAGGATGAATCAGCTTGCCCTTTCTCTGACCCAGCATACCGCCCACTGCGTAATCACTAGCGTCACACATGACTTCGAATGACTCATTCCAATCCGGTGTAGTCATTATGGGCGCTTGAATTAGAGCTTCCTTTAGTGTTGTAAAGGCCTGCAGACAATCAGAAGAGAAATTAAAAATTCTTTCGTTTTCTAATAGAGAGCATAAGGGTTTAAAGATTTTAGAGAAATCCTTGATGAATTTTCTGTAAAACCCAGCATGCCCAAGGAAACTTCGAATTCCCTTCACTGATGAAGGTGGCGGTAGTTTTCAATTACCTCAATCTTGGCTCTGCCCACTTCTATTCTATTCTTGTAGACTTTGTGGTCCAGCACTATCCCTTCCTTCACCATAAAGTGACACTTTTCCTAGTTGAAAACCAGGTTAGTGTCTTCGCACCTCTTCAGCACTTGCTCCAAATTGCTTAAGCACTCGCTGAAGTCCCTTCCAAAAACTGAAAAATCATCCATGAAGACCTCAACCATGGTTTCTATCAAGTCAGAGAAAATAGCCATCATACACCTCTGGAATGTGGCTGGCGCATTACACAGTCCAAATGGCATTCTTCGAAATGCGAATGTTCCATATAGGCATGTGAAAGTAGTCTTTTGCTGGTCTTGAGGAGCTATGGTAATTTGGTTGTACCCGCTGTACCCATCCAAGAAACAATAATAATCTTGCCCAGCCAAGCGATCTAACATTTGATCAATGAATGGTAGTGGGAAGTGATTATTCTTTGTTGCTTTGTTTAATTTCCTGTAATCCATACAAGTTCGCCAACCTGTCACTGTTCTTGTAGGGATCAATTTGTTTTTGTCGTTTGGCACCACTGTGATTCCTCCTTTCTTGGGTACACATTAGACTGGACTTACCCAATCGTTGTCTGCTATAAGGTAAATTATCCGAGCATTAAGCCACTTGATGATTTCTTTCTTGACTACTTCTTTCGTGGCAGGGTTGAGTCTTCTCTGGTGCTCGATTGAGTTTTTGCAGTTCTATTCTAAGTTGTTTTTATGCACACAGTAGCTTGTATTGATCCCCTTGATGTCTGCTATAGTCCAACTGATGCCTCTCCTATGATTCTTCAACAATTCCAACAGTCGAGATTCTTTTTCTTCAGCCAGATCAACTGCAATAATGATCGGTAGTGTTTTAGCTTCACCCAAATAGGCATACTTCAGGTGTGACGGCAGAGCTTTCATTTCTAGGTTAGGTGCCTTTTCCACTGAGGGTTGTAGCGGTGCTCGTTCTCTGTCTTTTAATTCCAGTGGTTCAAATGTCCTGCTGAACACTATATCTGCGGGTGTCCCTCCTTCATTGAGCTTGAGCAATTTTGCTTCTTTCTCCCTTCTCGAAGATGATGCGCAGCTCCTCTTCCAACTGATCTAACAACTCCTCAAGTTGCATCTCCTCTGTCAGCAAGTCATCTGCTATTCTCAACAAAGAACATTCTTCCATGTTAGCATGATACTTAATAGCATTAAAAACAGAAAATGTCACCTGTTGGTCATTTACTCTCATTGTTAATTCCCCATTTTGTACATCTATTAAAGCTCTACCAGTCGATAGGAATGACCTTCCTAAGATGATTGGAATCTCTTTTTCAGCTCGTAGTCCAATATGATGAAGTCAGCTGGGAAGATAAATTTATCCACCTGTAATAACACATCTTCTATCTTTCCCTCTAGACGTGTGATGGACCTATCAGCCAGCTGCAGTGTTATTGTGGTGGGGCGTGCCTTCCCTATTGTAAACTTCTGATACAAGGACAAAGAGATCAAGTTTATGCTCGCGCCTAAGTCACATAGGGCATTTCCTACATTCTTGCCCCCTATTGACATAGGGATAGTGAAGCTCCATGGATCTCCCATTTTCTGATGAAGTTTACCTGTTAAGATGGCACTGCATTTCTTTGTTAGAGCTACTGTTTCAAACTCCTCTAGCCTCCTCTTCTTGGCTAGAATGTCATTGAGGAATTTAACATAATTTGGCATTTGTTCGAGCGCTTCTACTAGAGGTATGTTGATATGGAGTTGTTTCAGTACTTATAAAAAACGATCAAATTGCAGATCTTGAGTTGTCCTTTAGAGCCTCAGAGGGTATGGAGGTGGTGGTTTGTACTCCACTGGTACTTTTACCTTTTTCTGCAACAGATTTTCTATGGATACCTTTTATGCTGGCTCTGCTTCTACAACTCTCTTTTCTCTGTTTATTTCTAGCTCAGGCTGTCTCTCTACCTCCTGTTGCTCCTTTTGTCCTTGGTGTAACTCATGCTCTTACGATGCTCCAGCACCGTCAGCTTTGTCTTCATTGATTGGCATATTCTCCATAGCATCATCTTCTGGACTTTCTAACTGTGGTTCCGCAGGATGTTCTACTTTGTCTGTTTGCCTTTGCACAGGATATGGTGGTGGTAACGCTTTTCCACAACGCAGGGTCAAGGCTTGACACTGCTCTTTCCCTTCCCTTTTTAGGTTTTCAATATCGCTCGGCAAGATACCCTGAGGTCTGCTCTTTAGCTTGCTAGCTTTTTGCCCCATTTGAACTTCTAAATTTCTTAGCGTTGCAGCTTGACTCTGAATCAGTGCATCGTTTCTGGCCATATATTCTCTCATCATGGCTTCCATTGAGTTGGAGGAAGTTGCTGCTGGTCTTGTTCCTTGTTGCTGACTGGGCATTAACAATCCTGGTTGTTGGATGACCTTTTACTGATATTGAGGAACATTCTGATGCATTTGGTTCCCTTGGTTTCCTCCCCAACTGAAGTTGGGATGCTGTCTCCATCCCGGATTATAGGTGTTTGAGTAACGATTTTTTCTGTTTGGGTTTTCTAGATAGAAAACAGATGTTGGGTTCCCGGGGCATGAATCATAATGGTGTTCACCCTCGCAATAAGAGCAAAAGATGGACATCACTTTACTCGTTGTAGGATTATTCGATGATGTTGTAGCTGTGCTCATGTGCTTTAACATGTTGGTTAAATTGGCAATTTGATTCATCAGTGCAGCCATTGCCTCATTATCATTAGCTCCATGATTGTTCCTCTCAGTTACCGCTTTGGAATCTGACCAGTGATAATTATTAGCATAAATTCTTTCCAATATATCAACTGCTTCTACGTACGACTTAGATGACAATGCTCCATTATCTGATGCGTCAATTACCAGATGTGTTGCATCACTCAGTCCATTGTAGAAGGTCTCTATCTGAATACACATTGGCAAACCGTGGTGGGGGCATCTCCTTAACAATTCCTTGAACCTTTCCCACGATTCGCTTATAGATTCATCTTGTCTCTACTGGAAATCATCAATGTCCCCTTGATACCTTGCATTCTTGCTTGGGGGGAAGTATTTCATTAAAAACTTCTCAGCGAGGTCATTCCAAGATGTAATGGACTTAGCCGACATAGAGTTCAACCAATATGTTGCCTTGTCCCTTAGCGAATATGGAAACAGTTTTAGATGCAATGCTTCCTTGGACACTCATTGCATTTTGAACGAGTCACTGACTTCCAGAAAATACCTCAAATGTAGATGAGGGTCCTCAGATGGGTTTCCAAAGAATTGCCCCACTGTTTGGAGCATCTGGAACATAACCGATTTTAATTCAAACCTCTCAGCTTCTATCTCTAGGCCTGCTATTACTGGATGAAACCCATGAAATGCTGGTGCAACATAGGCCCTGATGGCTCTTTCTCCATCATTTACCAACAGAATGGCGTTATGAGGGGGAGCAGCTGCTGGCGCAACCATCTCTTCCTCGTTAATTCTTTCAACCATTTGGGAGCCTTGGTAGCTGATCCATGGGGTTAGTTTCCACTTACTGTCTACGTTGTTCTCTTCTTCTTTTGTAAAATGTACGTTCAATCTCGTTGTCAAGTAGATACTCTAGCCCTTACAGATCACGCATTCACCTATAGAATCCACCACACAGTGATTAAAAGAAATCCTTATAGCAAAGGTTTTCTTGATCAAAGATATAAAGTGTACAGTTTAAACAAATCTCTGGAAACGGTGCCAAAAACTTGTTGAGCGAAAATGTATCCTTATGTGCAAGTGTACACTATCGTTATAGCAAGTAATAAAAAGTTTGAATCCATAGGGAAATGTTGCTTACACATTCTAACAATGTTTCGAGAAAGCAAAAAAATATAAAAAACAAATAATTCTTGGTCAACTCAAAATGAACAGAATGTCACAAAAACTAAGAACTACTATGCACACTGACTACTGTAAACCACACCATAATTAGGTTCGAATAACTTATAATAAAATGGTAATTAATGAGTAAGGTTGATTACTTCGTTCTAACAAGGTAAGGGGGAAGGTTTAGGTATGAATTTTCCTTGGTTGCTTAAACAATGATGTAACATTAACAATGTGAGTACTGACCAAACAGACATGGATCATTTCTAGGTTTCCCAGATTTCTGTTGTTAGGGTTTATCAACAAACTTACACAGCAATTAAAAACAGTTTGTAGCCATGCTAGGTGAGCCTTATTCCTAAGCACTCACTCTCTAACACAAGCAAAATCTAGCACAAGCTGAAGTTTATCACTCCGGATTACACTTTTCCAAGAGTTAACAGACAGATATTCCAACAATGGTGATCAAGCCTACTGAAAATAAGATTAAGCACATCAACAACTTAAAACCCATTCATCATTAGTACCAAAAGCACAGTATTTAGCTCTAAAAGAAGTTCACAACCCTTCCCCCTTACAAATCTGCTTAGCTACGCACAGTCATGGGAAAAATAAAAAGAAACATAAAATCAATGAAGTGGTATAAAGAGAAATTGGGCGCAAGAGTGAAACAAAAGAGCTGAAAGGTTCAGCTCCTTGTGGTATTCTCTCTCTTCCTCTGCTCTAGCTCAACTTTGGAACTTCACCTTCTTCTTGTCTTTCTCGAATGGGTTTCTTGGGAGATGTTTTGAAGTGAGGGATGATTGATGTAAAAAGTGTGTTTGGAGGCTTCCTCTAATGATGCTTTTATACCCTCTTTTGTTTTTAGTGCAAAAAACAGCATCCGTGGGCCCCCAACTCTCACTTCCAGGTGATTCTTCAATTACTGTGGTAATTCCCCTCTTTTGACCGTTCTTTCACTGCCACTGTCAGTTTGCTGCATTTTTGTACTTTTTTTTATTGCGATGTTGTAGCATAGTTGGTGCTGAAACAAAGAACCCAAAATTAGAATTTATGACAAAATTTTGCAAAGCTAAGAAGAATGACAAATATTAATTCATTTCTGCCATCACTAAGTTTATAATTGGTGATGTAGTGGCTATCCTTAGCTAAAATATATTGAATTTCAAGCCCAAATAACTCTCTTTTGGAGAGTTATCAAGTAGGATATCATCCACATATAACACCAAGAAAGCTACAGTGTTATTACACAACATCAACAATATGGTCAAAACCATAAGGCTTGATTACAGTATCAAATCTTATATTCTAAGATCAAGATGCTTGTTTTAATCCATAAATGGATCGTTTAAGCTTGCAAACCTTTTGCTCTTGACCTTGTACCCTTCTAGTTGAGACATACAAATACTCTCTTCAAGATTGTCATTCAGAAAAGCAGTCTTGACATCAATTTGCCAAATTTCATAGTTATAAAACGTGACAATGGACAAAAGTATTCTTATAGACTTTAGCATGAGAACCGAGGAGAAGGTTTCCTCATAGTCCACCCTTTCCCTTTGGGTGTAACCCTTTGCCACGAGTCTAGCCTTAAAGGTTTGTACCTTTCCTTCGACGTCTCGTTTTCTTCCACTTACAACCTATAGGTTTGACCCCATTAGGTCGATCTACAATGTCCCAGACGGAATTGAAGTACATAGACTCCATTTCAAGGTCTATAGCTTTGACCCATTTGTCTTTATCAACATCTTCCATTTCCCTTTTGTAGGACAATGGATCCTAAACGTCATCATCAGGTATGAAGACCTGGATTTCTATTAAATCCATGTAACGATCAGGTTGTGACACAATCCTCCCACTATGTCGAGGTACTCTCAACTCTTGAGATGGATGTGACTGACGTGAAGTACTAGCGCCATCAACAACTCTTGTTGAAGTGCTAGCTTTATCAACAACTCTCGTTAATGTATTTGTAGCTTCATCGGAAATCTCATTTAACACAACCTTACTTCGTGGTTTATGATCTCTCATGTGGTCTTCTTCCAAGAACGTAGCGTTTGTCGATACAAACACTTAGTTTTCTTGTTGGTCGAAGAAGATTCAACTTCTCATTTCCTTCAGGTAACCTACGAATAGGCACACGTTTGAACGAGGTTCCAATTTCTTTGTGTTTGTCACTAACACATGTGCTTGACATCCTCAAATTCTAAAGTGATGTAAACTAGATTTATGTCCTCTCTATGGTTCAAAAGGTGTTTCAGAAACACTTTTTGATAGAACTGTATTCAAAATGTATACTGCAATCTCCACTACATAATCCCAAAACCAGGCAGGCAATTGAGCATAGCTCATCATAGATCGAACCATGTCTATCAGGGTTCTATTTCTCCTTTTCGATACACCGTTCTGTTGAGGTGTACCAGGTGCTGAGAGTTGGGATGTAATTCCATTTTCTATCGTATAGTCCTAGAATCTTAAGTCCATATACTCTCCACCTCGATCAAATCGAAGTGTCTTTATCGTCTTACCTAATTGGTTCTCAACTTCAGTCTTATACTACTTAAACTTTTCAAGGGCTTCAGACTTATGTTGCATTAGGTAGAAATATTCATACATTGAATAATGATTTATGAAAGAGATGAAATACTCATACCCTCCCCTCGCTTTAATATTCATCGGACCACCAAGGTCTGAATGTACAAGCTCGAAAGGTTGTTTGGCTCTATAACATTTTCCAGTAAAAGGTCTTTTAGTTATCTTGCCTTCAAAATAAGATTCACATGAATGTAAAGAGTCATTTTCTAACTCGCTTAGAAGTCCATTCTTAACCAATATCCCAATCCTATTGA